TACTATTCAGGCTTTCTGCACTGACTGTCTAGGATGAGAATCTCTTATCCAAAATGCCTGGAACTGGAAGTGTTTTAGATTCCGGATTTTATTATTTTCTCTAATTCTGGGATATTTGCATATGTGTAAAGACATTTCTTGGGGGAGAACCCAGGTCTAAACACAAAGTTCATTCATGGTTCCTGTGCATCTTATGATGATAACTTCACACAATATTGTACGTAAAACACACTTTTGTGTTGCAAAATTTTGTTTTTAAAGACTTATTTTTATCATTTTTAAAATTATGTCTGTATGGGTATGTGCATATGAGTGCTGTGCCAGGGGAGGCCAGAAGAGGTGTCATACCCCCTGTGCCTGAGTTACAGGCAGTTGTGAGCCACCTGATGTGGGTTCTGGGAACAAAGCCAAATCCTCTGTAAGAGCATCCAGTGTTCTAAAATGATGAGCTATCTCTTCAGCCCCATGTCATAGGATTTCCTCAAGGGTGTCATGTTAGTGCTCAAAAAGTTTTATATTTTAGAGCATTTCACATTCTTAGTACTGTGTTCCCCAAAATATTGTGTACCCTAATAAACTTATCTGGGGCCAGAGAACAGAACAGCCACTAGATACAGAGGCCAGAAAATGGTGGCACACACACCTTTAATCCTATCACTTGGGAGGCAGAGATCCATTCGGATCTCTGAGTTTAAAGCCACACTGGAAACAGCCAGGCATGGTGACTCACGCCTTTAATCCCAAGAAGTAAGCCTTTAATTCCAGGAAGTAAGGGCAGAAAGCAGAAAGGTATATAAGGCATGAAAACCAGGAACTAAGCTGGTTAAGCTTTTAGGCTTTTGAGCAGCAGTTCAGCTGAGATCCATTCGAATGAGGACTCAGAGGCTTCCAGTCTGAGGAAACAGGATAAGCTGAGGAACTGGCGAGGTGAGGTAGCTGTGGCTTGTTCTGTTTCTCTGATCTTCCAGCGTTCACCCCAATACCTGGCTCTGGGTTTGTTTTTATTAATAAGAACTTTTAAGATTCCTGCTACATTCTGGATTTTTGAGTGCAGTGATCCACTGGAGGCACTGGCACAGGGCAGTCAGGCCCTGTTACCGACTTTGGGGGAAAATAAGAGGTGATGTGCGGTCTTAGTAGTCAATCAAAATCCCAGGCCCTTGCTGTCCTCGGCCACCAGGCCTTGGTGTTGTGCAGACTTCCTGAAGCCTCGGTTACTCTCTGTATTAAATGAGTGTAACAGTGTTATCCTAGGTGGGCAGGCGTCTTCCACCTCTGACTGTGATGACATCATAGGACCTCCCTCGGGGACAGCTGACACTGGTAGCTAGGACCTCTCCCTGGGACTTGGGCACATTTGGAATTCAGCAGGTGCCCTGGTCTCATACACTGTTTAGATAAGATGCATTTTTGTTGTTGTGATTCAACCCAGGTGCCAAGGAAGGGATTCTAGTGAGCTGGGTTAGACCCTGGTCTGGGGCAGAGGTGTTGGGAGGTGAGGGGTGGAGCTGAGGTTTTGTGCCTGGTGAAGGGGTCTGGGGTTGGGGTGGTGGGGTGAGAAAAGAGAAGGTGAGAAGTGGGTAAGGGGGCACTGAGCACAATAATACCAGCCTTCTAGAAAGACATAGCAAACCTCAAAAGGTGAACAGGAGAAAGAGAGAGGGAGGCAGAGTGGGAGGCGGGGAGGAATGACTGACTGTGAACACAGATGAAAAACATCCTGTGTGTGCCTTTGTGTGTGCGTGTGCTCATGCGCACCTGTGTGTGCATGATCGTGTGTGTGCTCCTCTGTGTTTGTGTGCAGATCCTCTGTAGACATCAGGTGTGTGTGTGTGGGGGGGGTGTAGGTGTGTGCACGAGTGCGCAAGCATGCATATGCATTCACTCGTGCGAGTGTGTGGGAGTTGATCTTCCTCACACCTCCAGCTGCATATGGAGCACAGGGTAGAGAGCACAAACGTCCACACAAGCTCCCACCGTCAACTCACACACTCCCGTTTAGGTGCAGTCAGCCCCCCACCCCCACCTCCTGCCTTCTGCCCCAAGTCTGAACTGTAAAGTGGAGGATGTGGCAGGGGAGGTGTCTTTAGGGTCATAAAGCCTCAACTAAATTGTCGTTCCCCAAATGCTGGCCTGATGTATCAGTTTCCACACCTGCACGTCCATCAATTCTGGGTTTATTTCCCCTCCTTCTCAGCCTTGAGAGTAGAAATAGGTCACATTTACAGCCTGGCTGCTCAGCCAAAGGGCTGGAGCCAGAGGATTGGGGATTTGCTATCACTACCAATATGCTCGCACACGCTCGTGAAACACACACACACACACACACACCCCTCGCAAGATACTAAGGATACTGGCAATGCTGATCCCAGTCTTGCTGCAGAGGCCTCCCAGGAGGCCATGGAAGAAGCTACTGTAGGTACCAAACACAGAGATGGGCACAGTGTT